ATGGTTTCTCAATCTCAATCTCCGTAGAACCAATTGTATTTCGGGATACTTCCTACAACGCTACGAAGAAGGTTACAAAACAAATTTTTTCCATGAGAGCAGTGATTTACAAAACAATGGAGTCTCCATCGATTTTCTGCCACACGGAAATGTCAAGATCGAAGCTTGTGATGCAAGTCATGGGATATTGCTTTGTGTTATTAATCCAGAACTAATACCGGAATACATAGTCTGCAAACCAACCACGAAACAGTATCAGATCATACCAAACACAAAAGTGGGGATTTGGGATGTCTCATTCGGTGTAGCGGTAATCGGATTGAACCCTTTCCGGTATAAAATACTAAGGCTTTCGCAGTCTCGGCGTATGTGTATGTCTCGGGGTATGTATTATGTGAATCACAGAACTTTTACGTGCGAAGTTTTCGATTCCGATTCGTTTACCTGGAAGAGATTAGAAAATTTGCGTATACCAAGAACAGACGGTTTAATTATTTCCCACCCGGTACAAGCTTCGGGGTTGTTCTTGCATTGGAAATCACGGAACAACAATGTGATCCGGTTCTGTCTCAAAACCGAAACTTGGTCTTTCTTCCAAACTCCGAACTTTGGTGTTTTCTCAGAATTAGTCAGATACGAAGGGAAGCTAGGTGCTACTTGTCAGTGGACAAACAAAGATCAAGAAAATGTTCACGGATTATGGGTTTTAAAGAGCAGTCTTGAAAAGTCGTGGGAAAAAGTGAAAGATATTAAAAGCATTGGAGAAGATGACATTACGTGGACTCCAAGAAACGACGTCGTATTGTTTTGTAATTGGGATCGTGTTTGCCTCTACAACATAAACACGGAGAAGTTGAAATTAGTTCATACAAACAAGGGCTTTGCCTCTTACGTTTGCTTCCCGTTTTGTTCTGATTACGAGAAGGTTGATCTGGACGAAAGAAGAAATGGGCCGACACTTTTAACAAAGAGAAAAAGAAATAGGTCGACAAATGCAAACTAGTCAACAAGGGCACAAGGCTCTCAATAGGCTCGCTCAACGTGGGGCATTGATTATCAATATATATCTATACTCTATAGGAATATTTAAAAAAAACATTTATAGGTGAAAAGGAATATTTAATTTTGTTAATGGTTTGTGTTTCTTAGAAGTTTATGTAATAACACCAAAAAAAATTTATGAATATTTTTTGGACAATTCTTTAAAATACCACATTTTTCAATTTTTGTTCTAAAAATATCATCACTGATTTTTTTTATTTTCAATAAAACGACAAATTCAATATATTTTTTTAGAATTCCTAAATTAAAAATAGGAAACCCAAATATATATGTATTTTTAATTTTATTTTGGTTGGACGAATATTTTTATATAAAAGTTTGTGGTATTATTAGGAAAATAAACTAGTGATGGTACTTTTGGAACAAAACTTAATAGTTGATATTTTAGGAATTTTTTTAATAATTATGGTGATTGTATTTGTTGGCTAGTTATTTTATTATATCAAGGGTTCCTTGTTTATGAAAACAATTAATGTATAGAATACAGTGTCCCAAATTTCTCTCTTAAAAGATACTTTTTAATATATTAGATATGCAATGATATCTTAATAGTTATAAGCAACAAATATATAGACAAAACACGTAATATCTTACTATTGTTTACATATATTTATATATCACTATAACACGTATGTATGTTATTGAACTTGTTAAAAAAATGTTATTGAAATTATAAGGTTTCATATATGTGTATTTTACACGTATATATATTTTTTTTTGTTAAAAAGCCTTTTACACGTATATTCTCCCAAAAAAAAGCATGGTACACAAAAATTATTAATATTTGGCAATTAGATTTTTTTTCTAAAGTTTATCTCAATTATGTATTAACTATAACAGATGGTAGAAGATAAGAAAATTATATCAGATTCATCCAATTAAATTTTATAATATATCATTTTAAAAAAAATTAATTAAAAGAAGAACTTTTTAATAAAATTGGTCAAAAGATAATTAATAAAAATAATTAAATATGTGATGCTAATGATTTATATATAGTGAGTTATTGTAAATTTACTTAAAATCATACAAATCTTATCCTAATTTGATTTATCATTTAGGAATCCTAAAGAAAAAACGCGGACAGCAAGACTTTATTTACCTTGTCCTCACTCCTATATAACGTATACCCTATTTATTCAACATAGTCTTATAGTAGTTACATTGTTGTATTCATAGAATCGAGCAGGCATCTTTAACCTATCTTTTAATTTTCTGATCTAGATCGTTTTCAATCCAAAGACATCGAAATCATGAGTTTTCCGGTGATGAACCATGAGGTGATTATTCAGATTCCTTCTTATTCTCAGTTTCCAGCAACATCGAGTCCCGAAAACACCAGTCAAGTGAAGGCTGTGATTGTGAAGCAGCCAAATTTGTTTAGACGTGTTATAAATTTGCTTTTTCGTCGTAATTCTTGAAAAAACCGACTTCGCATGATTGAGAACAAGAAGTCCAAGGCAAATAACTAAAGAAGTCTTTTATATGTATACAAGATAAACTTTTAATAATTAAACTCCTAGTTAAAAAAAATTATTCGTCATGACTTTCATGTTTTTAATGTGATTTATTCCTAAATATATATTGATTTTGCATGTGTAAGAGCGTTTTCATTTGCTAGAACAAGGACGTACGATAGTTCCAGAAAATTTCGACTTGATTAAATTAGTGATTTGCTAAAAAACAAAGAGATTAAATTAGTGTAAACAAGCTGAACACTGAAAATTACTTTTTCAATAAACGGAAAATATAATAGAGGTAAACATTGACGTAAGTTTAAAAAACTTATTTGAGTAAACCTAATATACATTCCTTTATCACTTTATTTCAAAAAAAAAAAAAAAATAGAAATAACTTTCATCATATGCAAATCAAATTCTTCGGTTTTATAACAATTAACCTTGAAGTTATTTAAGAAAATATATTAATTAAATGTTTTATCAACTTGCTTTTATTCTATGGACGTTGAAGCAACAAAACCTAATGGGTACGGCATTTTACATTATAAGAATATACAACGCACTAGAACGCTTTTGTTGATGATTCGCTTCTCTCGTAGTTGCGTCTAGTTGTGAGGCTTGTGATCAAGTTAGTGAAGAAGTAAGATAAAACTAGTCCGCCAATAGCATGCGATTTCAGAGGTTTAATTAGGATCTAAATAGCGGATTTAAAGCAACTAAAGAAACAAATAATCTTTTCGTAAATAAAGAAATATATCATCCCAGTTTTATATATTACGATATATAGATGAATCGGCGCTTCTATTTATACTTAACGCAAAAAAAATAAAGATGAAATATAACCATTGAAATCATTATTGTTTTCATATCCACCCAAAACTCATCAAACCTATTTTTCGATCTGAAGTCAACAATCACGAGACTTCGGTAATGAATCAAGATATGCGATCTCGGTAATGAATTAATTAAGATGCGATCATCAAAATTTTAATTTTTTCTGGTGTACGTAATCGAGAGCGCTTACGATTATGTGTTTTTCTATTTCAATTTTGAAGATATAATTTTGTATTTGCTATTTTTTTCAAGTATGATAAATATTTAAAATCATATTCTACATTTCTTTTTGATGGGATAAATTGCGCAAAAATCTTCATAAAACTGAAATCTCACATGGTTTTGAATTTCTACTCACGTAAGGAATAGATTGAAGCTTATGATGTAAGATTTTATTTTTGTGTTAGTGATTTCTTGGTTAATGGTATTTTCTATACAAAATTAGGTATTAATTTCCATATGTCGTTTTGTTTTGTTTTTTCTTTTTTTTTTTTTGATGTCGTTTTTCACTGAACTATACTCCCTATGTTTAATCTTTAACCTGGAATAATGTTCTAGCGATTCTTATTTGTTTCATATTTGGGATGGTTGGTTGTAGGTTTAAACATAATTTTCTCTAATGAATAATATATGTATTCAAATGAAAAATCGGTATGGGGTAATTGCATCATCAGTATTCACTTCATTTGTACCGTACGTACGTTTGAATTATATATCAAATATATAAAACATGTATTTGTCTCATTTCTTATATAAATATATTTAATAAAAATTTGAACCAATGATACAAACTATATTAAAAGTTTAAACTATATTTGTTTTCTGGATTGTGAATGAACCAAATCAGATTTGGATTTTCTTGTGCTATCTCATTAGGTTTAATACTATAATTAGTTGATTCACTATATGTATACTGATTTTTTTTCTTTTTTGTTAAAATAATCTATTGACTTTTTATTTTAAGAACTTTTTTTTTTGCAAAGTTTCATTTGCATATCACAAATTACCAATTGTTCCACCATATTGTTCCAATACAGTGAATAGTGATATGCAAATGAAAATATGAAAAAAAAAATCTTAAAATCAAATGACAATAGATTCTTTTAACAAAAAAAAGAAAACAAATCAGTCAGTATACATATAGTGAATTAACTAATTATAGTACTAAACCTAATGAGATATCACAAGAAAATCTAATTCTGATTTGGTTCATTCACAATCCAAAAAACAAATATAGTTTTAACTTTTAATTTAGTTTATATCATTGGTTCAATTTTGTAATAAGTAAATAAATTAATATATAAGAAATTGAGACAAAAACATATTTTATATATTTGATATATAATTCAAACGGTACAAAGTGAAGTGAATACTTCTGATGATGCAATTACAGAATTTTCATTTTCTAGTAATATGGATTTGTGGTAATTAATTTGTGACATGCAAATAAAAATTCGATAAAATTCTTAAAATATTCAAGATAAAAATACAAATTGGCGGGGTATCTTCTCATTATGTTATAACTTTTACGTTTAGAAAATATATCTCGAAAATTTAGAAATGCTGATATTACCAAAATCATGATCTTAAAAGGGATCACTAGGCTTACAAAATCCTATATATTAAGCTATTTGTTGTCGTAAGTACCCACAGATCAAACAAAACAAATATTCATCTTTATTTGACTATACATTCTCACTAATCTCTTTTGAGATGAACCAAGACATGTTCATAAATATTCTTTCTCATTCTCCTGTTTCGGTGCTCGAAAAATTCAGACACCTAAACAAAGAATGTAACCAGAGAACCTACACTTCTTCGTTTCTCAAACTCAATCTCCAAAGAACCAATTCCATTTCCGGTTACTTCCTCCAGTACTCCGAGAGACTAACTCTACACTCCACTTTTGTCGAAGCTCTCGGAAACAGGGCTTGTGGGACTGACGTCTCGCTCGATTTTCTACCGCCGGGAAAAGTAAAGATTGAAGCTTGTGACTCAAGTCATGGGATCTTGCTTTGTGTTAATGATCGTCCGGTTAGAGGAAGACAACCGGAGTACATCATCTGCAAACCAACAACAAAACAGTACCTGATCTTACCGAAACCAAAAACCCGGTATTTCACGGTCGCACTCGGTTTAATGGTTATTGGATCTAACCCTTTCCGGTATAAGATCATCAGGCTCTCAGACTTACCTTACGTGGAGAATAGGAGGTACAACATCAACACCACTTTCGTCTGTGAAGTTTTTGATTCGGTTTCATTTGCATGGAAACGACTAAAGAATTTTGAACTACTGGAAAATGACTTATTGAGTCCATGGAACTCTAAACCGATAGCTTCTTACGGGTTTTTGCATTGGTTAACAACCCGCAACAATGTGATCCGGTTTTGTTTCAAAACCGAAACTTGGTCATATTCTCCGGTTCCTGAGAATCTAGCAAGCGCTAACTCTCTAAATTTGACAAGCTACGAAGGTAAGCTCGGGATTATTTGTTCGAGATCCAAGGAAGGAGTGGATTGTGAGGATTTATGGGTTTTGAAGAGCACTTTTGGGACTTCTTGGGTGAATGTGAAAGAGATTGAAAATAAAGGGCTCAAATCCGTTGGGTTCTTAAGCAACGACGTCGTAACGCTGGCTGACGTGGATCGAATCTTCTTATACAACATGAATAATGGGAAATCTCAGAATTTAGAAATAAGGGCTCCAAGATTCTTCCCTTCCCATTATTCGACCATTATTTATTTTCCTATCTTTTCTGATTACCTGAGGGTTGAATTTAACGGGAGATGAGATCCAACGGCTCTCAACAGGACAAGTCACACTATTATGAGGATGAAATTTGAGAAAGTCAACGCGACTTAAGCTTTTGTTATTAATTATGGTTGTTGTTTTTTTTTTTTTTTTTCACTTTTATTATTTTGCTCCGCTTGTGTGTTTTATGAGTTATGAATCTTTGTTTCAATTTAATAAAGGGAATGAATTTCAAGTTTATTTTCTGGATCCTACAGTCATACTGTTAAAATTTCTTTCATATCATTCTTACTTCTTTGAGTTCTTTCCACTCATAAACTGAAAAATGATTATAAGTTAGTTTTCTGTTTTAGTGGTTTTTGGTACAAATGGAAAACCGAATCGTTAACCGGCCTTGGAAATAATAATCACTTTGTCAAAGAAAAAAAAGATGTAAACAGGTTATTATTTGTTTCTTGAAGGTGAAATCAAATATATATCATCTCCAAATCTAGTTTGGTTCAGGGGCTTACCGAACCGGATTGAATTTCACATATTCAAAAATTAGCAACACAAAAATATCTCCGGTACAAAACTAAACATTTATAAGCCAAACCGGTTTAGTTCCCTGTTAAATACTCCCAAAAAAAAATCTCTTAACAATAATTCCTTTCCTGGAAATTTACCGGTTCTGGTGAAAACCGTGGGACGACGAGGATGCTTCTTCATATCTCACCACCACTCTCGTTGACTTGACTTGGCTCTGTCCTCTAGCTTACCTTACTCTGCTCTCGTCAATGGTTCTCTGCGATCTTAGCCAAATCTGTTGATAAGGTTTCTTCGTTGATTGGTTGAGATCTCGAAATTTGTTAATTCAATTCATCGGAACTTGTTGATGGACACCATTGATGGATTCGCCGATTCTTATGACATCAGCAGCACTACTTTCTTCGCCGCCGCACCTGCTCCTACCGATAACACCGAGTCTTCTATTGTTTTTCCGGCGGCAGCCGAACAACTTCTCACCGGACCTGATGTATCTGCTCTGCAATTGCTCTCCAACAGCTTCGAATCCGTGTTTGACAAGCCGGAAGAGTTCTACAGCGACGCTAAGCTTGTTCTCTCCGACGGCCGGGAAGTATCTTTCCACCGCTGCGTTTTGTCAGCGAGAAGCTCCTTCTTCAAGAACGCTTTAGCCGCCGTTAAGAAGGAGAAAGACTCCAACGCCGCCGTGAAGCTCGAGCTGAAGGAGATTGCGAAGGATTACGAAGTCGGTTTCGATTCCGTTGTGACTGTTTTGGCTTATGTCTACAGCAGCAGAGTGAGGCCGCCGCCTAAAGGAGTTTCCGAATGCGCAGACGAGAATTGCTGCCACGTGGCTTGCCGGCCGGCGGTGGATTTCATGTTGGAGGTTCTCTATTTGGCCTTCATCTTCAAGATCCCGGAATTAGTTACTCTGTATCAGGTAAAACACCACCTGCATAAGCTATGGTTGCACATTCATGAAGGTATATGTACTTACTTGAGTACTTCTATTTGCATTTCAGAGGCCTTTATTGGACGTTGTAGACAAAGTTGTTATAGAGGACACATTGGTTATACTCAAGCTTGCTAATATATGTGGTAAAGCTTGTAAGAAGCTATTGGATAGATGCAAAGAGATTATTGTCATGTCTAATGTAGATAGAGTCAGTATTGAGAAGTCATTGTCACCAGAGCTTTTCAAAGAGATAACTGATAACCGTAAAGAGCTTGGTTTGGAGGTACCTATACTAGACAAACATGTCTCTAATATACATAAGGCACTTGACTCGGATGATGTCGAGTTAGTGAAGCATTTTTTGACAGAAGGCCACACCAATCTAGATGATGCGTGTGCTCTTCATTTCGCTGTTGCATATTGCGATGTGAAAACCGCAACAGATCTCCTAAAACTGGATCTTGCCGATGTCAACCATAGAAATCCGAGGGGATACACGGTGCTTCATGTCGCTGCGATGCGGAAGGAGCCACAATTGATACTATCTCTATTGGAAAAAGGTGCAAGTGCATCAGAGAAAACGTTGGAAGGTAGAACTGCTCTCTTGATCGCAAAACGAGTCACTATGGCGGTCGAATATAATAATGTTCCGGCGCGATTCAAGCATTCTCTCAAAGGCCGACTATGTGTAGAAATACTAGAGCAAGGAGACAAACGAGAACCAATTCCTAGAGATGTTCCTCCCTCTTTTACAGTGGCTGCCGATGAATTGAAGATGAGGCTGCTCGATCTTGAGAATAGAGGTATTTCTCAAGTCTTACTTCTTATTTTTATTTTCTACTTCTAGGTCTGATATGTTTGAATCAAATTTAAAGGAAACTGAGTGAACTAATGATAACTATACTTTGTGTCCACTGTTTAGTTGCACTAGCTCAACGTTTGTTTCCAACGGAAGCACAAGTTGCAATGGAGATCGCCCAAATGAAGGGAACATGTGAGTTCATAGTGACTAGCCTAGAGCCTGACCGTCTCACTGGTACAAAGAGAACATCACCGGACGTAAAGATAGCACCTTTCAAAATCCTAGAAGAGCATCAAAGTAGATTAAGAGCGCTTTCTAAAACCGGTATGGGTTCTCACCCACTTCATCGACTCCTTATCACAAAGAACAAAACTAAATGATCTTTAAATTTGGTTTTGTCACTTGCTGTCTGACCTTATTTTCTTATCTTCAGTGGAACTCGGGAAACGCTTTTTCCCGCGCTGTTCAGCAGTGCTCGATCAGATTATGGACTGTGAGGACTTGACTCAACTGGCTTGCGGAGAAGAAGACACTCCTGAGAAACGACTACAAAAGAAGCAAAGGTACATGGAAATACAAGAGATATTAACAAAGGCCTTTACTGAGGACAATTTGGAACTTGGAAAATCGTCCCTCAAAGATTCATCTTCTTCCACATCGAAATCAACTGGTGGAAAGAGGTCTAACCGTAAACTCTCTCATCGGCGTCGGTGAGACTCTTGCCTCTTAGTGTACTTTTTGTTGTACCATATAATTCTGTTTTCATGATGATTGTCACTGTTTATGTCTATCGTTGGCGTCATATAGTTTCGTTCTTCATTTTGCATCCTGTGTATTATCGCTGCAAGTGTGTTTCAAACCAATGTTGTAACATTTTGAACCAGCGGTGTACAAATTTGTAATATATATTGATGTACATCAACAATAACCCATGATGATGTTACAGAGTTGCTAAAATCACAGTGTGAAATAGGGACAAATTGTTCATCTATTGAACCAAAAGAATATTCAAGTTCCCTTATTGAAGGTCAACAAGAATCCAGAATCTTGGAAAAAATGTTCCCTCAACTATTGGCAACATTCATGTTATATGTATTTTCCTTATTTCTAGTTGTGGAATCTTCAGTGCATCTTTTAACCTTTTCTAAGTCGAATTACACAATAAGTTAGTTTCAGGGCTAGAGTAGAGATAAGAGAACACTGAGTGGGCGGGTAAGGCGTCCTCCTAGAAGCAGCCTATCACTCAGAGGCTGGGAGCTAACTGCTTGAACTTTTTAGTCTTTAGTATTCATCTGATGCGTAATAGTCAGCTCCATTGCATCCAACATTTGTGAATGACACAAGTAACCGATCCCTTGCACCATTTCTGGGTGCAGAGAGATCGAGAAACGAAAACAGTAACGTGAAAGAATAACGGTCCACTCTGCTTTTGTTAGTCGAGGAGATCCCGGAAACATATTTATCGTTTTAACGAATCTTTGTTTCAAAATAAATTGAATCTCAAGGTTTTCTGAATCATACAATCACCATGTTTAAATCTATTTAATATACAAAAATGTCAACAATGTTTATGCTACAAAACTACGATATATAACACGAACCGGTTTTGTCCTACTTCCCAAACGTCAAAAGATACAATAGAAACAGTAAGCAACAATCTATCTAACTTTCAGCTTTTCTTCTTCTGAATAGTGCGAGGACTAGTTTTTTTTGTTTTCACTTACCTGATAAGTTAGGTGGAGGCGGTGGCAGAGACATGACTGGTGGGAACAATGTTGGAATTCCTGAAGCTTCCGGCCAAGCTGATACTTTTGGAACTGGAGAAAAAGTGGCTGTGTAAGTTTTGAATAATCGTTCAAGAGTGTAACAGTCGTCTACATACTGCAAAGGGTTGATTTTCAGCTTCTCACAGACTGCTAGAACGTGCAGACATGGAAACTTCTTCGATTGAAACTTCCCACACACGTGCAGGTGCATTCGCTCAGCCGAACGATCCATCCATCTTTATGTAACGGCTCTGTGACCTGAAACACACCTTTGTCTATAGGCATTACAACGTAAGTAACGGAAGCTGTCCTAAACTCATCAAGCTTGTCCGTGACAAGTTTAGTGTACACATATCCGCAGTTAACCCTACCACTGCTATCACAAAGACCAGTGTGGAAAAGTAATCTCAACTCATCAAACAGAAGCAGTGCGTTCGCTGTCACTGACAGACCAAGAGACTGAAAGCTTTCACAAATTGCAAACAAATCTTCTGTTTCTATCGTCATGACTCCGTATCTCCGACCACTGTCATGAGCCAGAGCCCACTGAGTTTGAGGGAATTGGTCTAACCATTTCCGAGCTTCTGAGTTCTTCTTTTCAATGTCCTTCATGTAGGAATCAAATTCTTCCTTCTGACTTGTGGATCCAGCCTGCTTCACAAGGCTCACTAGGTTGTAGTCTTGAAAAATATCATGGAATTTTAAGCAAAAACGATCCAGACAGAACCTGTGATAAACCCAGGGTTCTTGCCACAGTGACCCGGGTTCGTTAATAACAGCAACTATGTCCGGGTGGGGACTGGAGATGAGGCAAACGTCTTTCCTTTGTGTTACCTTCTCTCGGATTCCAGTGAGAAACCAACGCCAACTATAAGTGGACACTTCTTTAGTAAGCGCAAATGCAAGCGGGAAAAAGCAATCATCAGCATCGAGTCCTGAGGCAATCATCAATTTCACAGGGTACTTACTGTTCAAGTCTTTGGTGTCCACTATGATCAGAGGTCTACAGTGTCGAAACCCTTCAATGGACTGTGGAAACGCCCAAAACACGCCACCAAAGGATGCAAATTCAGGATTAGGGAAAAGCTCGTATTGCCAGTCTACAAGTAGCCCATTAGATGAGTGAAACGCAGCCATTAATTTAGGCAATACTCTGAAACTCTGATCCCAGTCTCCATATACCTTTTTGATTACTTCCTGTTTTGCTGCCCGCAGCTCTGAAGTTTTAAGCATGTCGCCAAATTTTTCAAACCACCAATTTTTCAACTCTACAATTGTTAGTGTAGGTTGTACCCTGATCAAACATTCAATCTCTTCTGCTGCAAATTCCACGTTGAAATTTTCTGGCTTAATAGAACAACAAGTATGTGGACCACTACACTTGGTTATCTCAACGAGTCCATGTTCTTCTATTCTAGCTGCCCGAAGTGACCAATTGCATTTCCATCTGATGCATTTAAACATATACTCATCCTTCTCAATCTCTTTTACTACACACTTTTGCTGCCCTCTAATGAAACACCAGTCCACCGCCTTCTTCAGCTCATCTCTATCTTTAAAACACAATCCTACACGCAATTCATGATCATCAACCCACAAACTGGACAGAGACCACGGTTTTGAAGCACTCGAATCGACGACACCTTTATTTAATAAGCATGGATTCGCTGATGCTTCTAAGCCTGGCACATTCAAATCCTTAAGTGCATTGCCGTTATTCGCTGTCAAATTAAGCACATCATCTGAACCCGAGTTTTTATCCGTCATTTCTCCATCTCCACCTCCGTGAGTGCTACCATTTCCAAAGTCAGAATGTTCCTCGTCTTCAATCCACCCGTTACTATTACCCACTCCCTGAATCTCTAAACCATTATCCCTCTCTACTTTAACAGATGGATGTGACACATAACCAGTAGCTTCTTGGGGTTGTTGGATCCTCTGTCTTTTCGAGGAACTAGCAGGATTTTCCAATACTGATGAACAAGCAGCATGATCAGTAACATCATCAGAAGTCGATTTCACTTCCAAATACAACTCCACATTCTTTATAGAAGGATGTATGCTTGGAACCTCAAGCATAGTATCCAAACTAGTGTCGTTCACCACAGGAAGAAGTAGATACATAAAGAGATCCGGTGAAACAACTACAGGGTACCTACCAAATATTTTGAACTCTGATTTCTGCTTATCCAATCCAAAAATTGGATAAAGGCCATTCAACAATGTGCTTAACCCAGTCTTTTTCCTAACTCTGATCTTTTTAGGAGTGGATCCTTCATAGTATACACCATCAGGACCATACTTGATAGAACCTTTCCAGTAACACACCACCATAACCTTTTCTCTCAAGGTTTCCATCGCGATGAGCACATCAGTTCCTGCAGTGAATTCAAAGAAAAATGTGAACTTTTTGGGCCTAAACTCATAACATACAAAACCATGGAGAAATCCATATCTAAAAATAAAGGCTAAAGCTTTTTAGCTAAGAAGCAGATAAACCCATTCAAAATACATAATACTAAACAGTGGTACTCAATACTAATACTCGTACCTCAAAACCGAAGAATTTTCATATCGGGTGTGGCAGAGAAGCTTGGATTTTGCAAGAACTGCAAGAAATTTCGTCTCTCGCTGAGGATTGCTCCGGTGATGAAGCCACTTGTCTCCGATGACGAAGACACCACCTACCTTTTCATTTGCCATAAATGTCACATCTTTTCGAAATACAAAAATAAAGTACAATTGGGCCGAAAGAAGAAAAGCCCGTTAATGTTTTGAGTCCGTTTCTAAACTAGCAAAATATTCAATTTCATTCCCGCCAAATATTAACTTTCAATGTCCCAGTGATTTAATGTTTGAAAAAAAAAAATACCCCAATGATTTTATATTTTGTTCTCGTTCTTGTCTTCAAAACAAAAGAAAAATCAATAGATGCATTAGAATTAGAAATTTGGTATGTACGAATTGTAGAAAAGAACTGGTTTTTACAGGAAGATTTTGTCCACATTAAGCCTCCTTGCAGATAAGAAACTTTGTTTTAGAAAATATACATTTAAACAAGGTATTGCCAGTCCACAAGCATACCAAATACCTCACACTGTTTGTATATTACCAGAGAGGCGTGGATGCGAGAGTAAGAGTAAAAGAAAGCTATAATAAGATTGGGAAAGATATCGTAAAGAAGACGAAGAAGGTGTGATTAAGTTTTCAATCTAGGGGATCACCAAAAGTGCTCATGAACAAGCTGGATTAATTTTCACATACAAAAGCAGCAACATAATATGTCTCCTTTATATAACCGGAACTGTATTTATCCTACTTTCCGAAAGTTAAAAGATACTACATAGTCACTATCATAATCAACCAAAATGCTTGGTTTGGTTTGACTCAAATCCATCTCTTACTAGTTATGTGTTAGGACTTACCTGATGAGTTAATTAGGCGGACTAGGAGGAAACAAGGTTGGAACTCCTGGAGCTTCCGGCCAAGCTGAAACTTCCGGAACAGGTGAAAATGTAGCGGCGTAAGTTTTGCAATACCGTTCAACAGAGTAACAGTCGTCTACATACTGCAAAGGGTTGATTTTGAGCTTCTCACAAACTGCTAGAGCGTGCGGACATGGGAACTTGCAAATTTGGAACTCCACACACGTGCAGGTTGAGCCATTCAACTGGACAATCCATTCCGCCTTTTTTAAGGACTCTGAGACCTTAAATGAACCTCTCTCTAACGGTGTTATAACGTAAGTAATCGAATCTTTCATGAACTCTTCAAACATGTCCATGACAGGTTTTGTGTACACATCGCCGCGGTTAAGAGAGCAGCGGCTAGAACTAAGAGACTTAGCGAATGAGGATCTCAACTCATCAAACAGAAGCATCATATCCCCGGTTGTATAATACTGAAAATCTGTACAAACTGGAAACATAACTTCTGATTCTATATCCATGATTCCGTATCTCAGACCACTGTCGTGAGAAAGAGCCCACTGATGTGGAGGGGTTTGGTCTAACCATCTCCGAGCTTCTGGGTTCCTCTTTTCAATCTCCTTCATTAAGGAATCAAAAGCATCCTTCTGAACCGTGGATCCAGCAGCCCACACAAGACTCCTCAGGTTGTCAACTGATAAAACGTGAGACATTTCAGTTTTCACA